GAAATAATAGTGTTTTTTGTTATAAGGTGCCATGATCATCCATATAGAAAATCCAAAAGAAACAACCAAAAAAAATTCTAGAATAATCAACTATAGCAAGGTTGCAGGAATCTAGCCTAATTCACAAAAGTCACACCTTACCATGAACTCCAGGAACTCCAGCTGCCATCCCATGACTCTGCGTGGGCCTCCAGTCCCACACACCAAATACTACATGGTTTATAAGCTCATACCTACTTTGATAACCCTGGTGCACACAGCATTTCTACAGGAAGACACACAAGGCTGCAGTACTGCACAGGGAAAGACCTGGTTGCTAGGCCACAGACAATCAGAAGTCATTGTGTGGACTCTCCAGAGATATTAAGTCTCCCTAGACATACCAAGGAACTGAGGGACCCACCTAGGTTTACACCAGAGGCAGGCAGAACTAGGTCTGTGTGGATAGCTTCCAAGACCTAAGTTCTATGCTGTTTTTGAAGCAGAAAGCTGAGGTAGATGGGGAAAAAACTAAAAATAAACCTCTCTAACCCAGCACAGAGATAGCTGGAATAGTTGCTACTTCCACACCCAGAGAAACTTAAGAGGACAAGAGGAGAAGGCATGGGCATTTACTACACCTCCAAAAACCTAACATATCCAAACTAGACAGCTTTGTAGGAAATCTCTCCATTTCAAACAGCTAACCAAGAAATAATTTTAGACTCAATAGTTTTTTTTAATTCATTGGTATTGACTTCTATGTTGATTTGAGAGGTTTTCCTCCATTATTTCATATTGCATACTTTATTCCAATTTTATATGTTTTTAAACATTTTTAATGTGTTTATTGGAATTATTCTTTAAATCTTCTTCTTTCTCATTGATACATTTTCTTCCTCCTCACATTATCTATTTCTATCACTACCACCCCTTTCATTTTACTTTTTCCTCTTTTACTGTTCATGCCCTATATAATTTAATGGTCATTTTACTTCCTTCAATAACTAATTTTTCAGCCTAGAGTATTACTCCCATTTTGGACTGACAGGATACAAAGGACATTTTAAGTATTTATGGTTTATTAGTATATGGTTTGCCCTGGATTGGGAAGAGTTACTGGTGGTTATTATCTTCTCTCAAAGAAGAGGAATTGATCATGGCATTGTGATCATTTTGAATGGGAATTCTGACTCAGATATTCACCAAGCTTGAATCATATAATAAAGAGAAAGCAGCTCACTAAAAAGACCCTCACCCAACAGGAAAAGAGATATCCCTCCCAGAAAATGCACAAATATCAATACTGAAAGCTGAGAAAACAAAGTGCCTCCAAAAGTTCCTAATGCTCCAATCACTGGACCCATAGATATCAAAGTGGAGGAGATGAAATAACCATATTTTAAGCCTAGAAATCCATAGTCTTCAATTCCCTGATTAGCTCAGGATGGGCACAAGGCTCCATGCACCCCATGCTACAAACCGGTCTCTACACAATCACCTCAACCCACAGACAGAAATGAACCAGATGAACTTTTTCCAGCTGTATCACTATCTCCTCAGAAGAATTTAACAAATTTCTGAACTTCTGTATGAGTAATCATTTTAAGAGATGTTACTTTGAGCTATTTACATTTTCAACAGGAATAATAATATAAGGGAAGGTATGTCAATAAATCATGTCCAAATAAAAAATGATATCAACATAGAGAAAATGCCAAGAATTTAAAAAGTTGATTGTTACAATAATCAATGAATTTAAAAAAGATCTAAGATGAACTGGGAGGGGGGAATATAGGATATGAAAGAACATTTACAAGTTCTGAAAAAAACAAACTGAGAAATAGTAAACATACACAAAAAGATACAAAACCAGACATTTAGATTACTATAAGTTTTCTAAGAAAAAGTTGAAATGTGGAGTGCCTTTTTAGAAACTACATCACACATACCAGTGTAAATTTGGTTTTTATTAACAATCAACTTTCTATAAACATTGCATCTAAATGTTCACCAATCAGCTGCACAATTTGAACAATTTTACTTCCAAAACAAAGACAAATGCTTTTATTTCCTTATGTCTCTGTCTTTCCTTGGGCTAGAGAAAGAAGTTGTATATGTAAAAGCAGATTCCAAAGGGGCAGTATTTCAAATGTGCTTTTTGCACACAGCCACATCCATAGCATGTGGATGGATATTCATCCTGCTAGACCTAGCTCTGCAGTCCACCACCAGGGCTGTACAGTAAGCCCAAATTGTAAGCATCACCCCAGGCTTCTGAACCACCCCACTGTCTGAGGACTTCATGTCTGAGACCAAACAAAGCACAAACAGATTTGGTAACTATGTCTATGTGATTGAAGAGTACACTAAAGCAAAAAAAAAAAAAAAAAAAAAAAAAATGGGGGAGATAGGACTGGGGTAAGAGATCTTTGACAGCATTTCCAGGAAATTCTTGCAATAAATGTGGGCATAATATCTGAATTACTGCTGGTAGCCAAAGTCAGAAGCCCACCAGTGGTATCATGACTTATAAGGAGTAAAGGCCAAGTCAGAGAGAGGGCTGGCCAGTGATACCCCTGAGACTGTTTTCCTCTTCTCCCTTACCCGGCCCACAAGTAACAGTCCTCCTGGCCCTGAGACCTCAGCCAAGATTTCTGTTTGGTTTGGCCAAGTGCCATCTTCCCATAAAGCCTGGTGAAAAATAAGGCAAAACTGGGGATAAATAATCCCTCAAAAGCACTGAGGGGCAAATGTACAGACCACAGGAGATTAGTAAGACCTAGAGTCCCCACTAGAGGGAAGCACACATATCCTTGCTAAGTCAGCTTCATTGGCCTGCCAGAACACAGGTGTTGGAACTATCCCTACCTAAACACACTTTCTTCACTACATAAACCCTCAGTGCTTTTCAAGTTCAGCACATGGGGTTCTATGAGGGAGAGGGATTCACACTTAAAAATCTATCCTTGTTTTCATTTGATCACTCACCCATGGTTGGAGGATAGAAAGGACAGGTATACACGACCAGGAACCTTTCCTAAGGGGCATGGGTAGGGCTGAGCTGAGGTTCAGCTCCTCTGAGCGGGTAGTCTATAGCGCCTGGTGTCTGCAGACTGAGAAGGGATGTGGGTAATTGCACTTTGGGGCACAGAGGGCACAGGCATGGACTAGATATGGCCTGGGAGACAAGAGAGGGCAGACTGACCTCAGTTCAGTTCTCTGGACAATGAGAGGAAGGTCATGGTGAGGCAACTCCACAGACCAGAACTGTGATCCCAGTCAGCAAGACACAGAAACAGCAAGAGAAGGCTTACTCCCAGAATCTCTCACCCAGGGAACAGAGACCCTGTATCTTCTTCCCAACCTTCAATACCAGTTGCAGGGCTTCTACTCTGAACATTTGTATTTGCTTTATCTTTTTTTGGGGGGGTGGGGGATGTGCAGGACTAGGGATTAAACTCAGGTCCTCAAATATTCTAGGCAAGTGCTCTATTCACTGAGATATCTCCCCACACCACTGCTTAATCCTTCTAACAGGTCAGTTGAGGCACCTAAGGCTCAGGGAGACTCTAGGCAGGACCCCCCAGGTATCACCCTGCCCCATTTCAGGAGGCTCTGCAGGTGCTAGCAGCTGGATGACAGTTCCCTGGTTGAACATCTGAGCACTCATGTCCTGGCCAACTCCCAGAGTTGACTATTTGCCTAGCACTATGAAACTGGGCTTCAAGAACAGAATTATAAGCAGACATTTTAGGGGGACAAAGGTCATTTGATAGTGTTGAATTTGGTTTTGTCTGTCTTATGAAAAACGGTTCAAAAGGTAATCCCTGATGATAGAACAGACCAATTACAGGGCCAAGGGCTCCTAAAGGATCCTGTCTGTTCGGTCTGGTTAAGGCAATGATGGGTGGGTGTTGGCTGGGGAGCAGTAACATAGTGGCCCATGCACTTTGCTGCTCACACCTGGCCTTCCTCCCAGAGCCAGTCACCTGCCTTTTGGCTCTTAGCAATGGCTCCATGGAACTTCCCCAGCAGGAGCCAGCACATCAGACAGGTGACAGGAGCACCTACAGCACACACATCCAGACCAGACAATATGTGTCTGCTCTTTCAGCATAAAGCCAGCACCAAACTGGAGAAATCTATTGGTAATCATTTTTTAAATACTCAGTTTTGTTCTAAGTATTTCCTTTCCTTCCATTTGTATCTCAAAACCCTTCTTTTTCAGTGTAGACAAAAAAAGATATGTACAGGGCAGGCCTATGAAAAATAAGGACTTGTCATAAAACAGGCTCAAAACTATAGGAAATATGCAACCTGACTTTTAGCATCCATGAGTTCCCATGAACTCTGTTACGACAAAGTCTCAGACCTGGTCTTCCCTCTTGTCAAGTCATAAGTGTCTTCAGACATAAAGAGGACGCCACATTTGTTAGAATGTATAAGGCAAAAAAGGTTTCAGATCTATTTTTATGTAAAAGAGATAACAAGAGGTTTCTAAATGCAACACCCAATTTTAAGTGTCATTCCCACTAGACACATATTACAAAATACTCTCTTCTGTAAAGTGCTGTTTGCTCAGTAAATCATGCACCACCAGAGACATGGCACCAAGCTTCATCTGCTTAAGGGCCAATGTGGCAGCATCAGTAGAAGGAGGGTGGGAGTTTTTGCCTATAAAGACTATTTCCATTCCATCTCCTCAGCCCTCTTTAGTGAGAAGGGAATTCTCTCATTACTGCCCCAATGCTTGGCTCTGGGACAGGGACAGCTTCATTATCAGGGCTGTCCCCCACTTCTGCTCCTGCTCTCCCTTCTGGTTTGGCATTGTATTACCTCATTCTTCTCAAGATCTTGAATCAGAACTCAGCCAGCTCCCCATGATGGCTGCATGGGGTCTCCTCCTCCCTTTAAATCATATAGAGTGGCCAGGCAGAAGTGGGACTCACCCATGCCTGACACACAGGAGGGCTTTCCAGGAGATTTGACAAGAAGGGTTCAAAAAAGAGAGGCAATGGTCACCTGCCAAGTCTATACTATTTAAAGGACATAGAAAGGTACACAATTGGCAGTAAACAAATTCCTTTAGCTCTTCATAGATGTCCACAAAAACAATACCCTCCACACCATCAGACGTGAATGATTTCTGCTCCAGTGTCTTCAGGCTCTGTGCAAGAAGAAGAGTTTGTGTCCGAATAACAGACTCCATGTCCATCTTTATTTTCAAAACTGGACTCTGTTAGTGCAGATTTTTCAAAAATATTCTTTTTGCTTGTTTCTGGACAGTTTTGAACATAGATCACTCTATTATAAGCCTTGAGTCTCTTCCACAATTGCAGGTATACTTTACATTGAATGTACATAAAAAGAAGTCCTCCAGTGAAGCCAATGGCCACTACCACCAATTTAGTCCAAAAGGGCCACTCTAGGATTCCTGGAAGAGAAAAATTCAATTAGCCTCTCAATAGAGTTCAAATTTAACATCTGAAGTAAACAGAACACAGCTTTTGAACTTCTCATAACCAATGGATTCTTCACTCATCAAATCTTCCTTCCTCAAAAGTGGGGTGGAAGAGAACATCCACCATCTTTTATCCTGTCCTCTCATCTCACACTCCATTATTCCATTTCTTCTGACTGGGTTTTAAACTAGCCTGAGAAACATCCAAAAAGAATGCTTTGTGCCTCCTATTTATGCCCCACACCCCAAACCCAGATGCTCACAGTAGGGCTGGAACAACATTCTGACCTCAAGACCCCGGCATGTTCTCCAAGGCTTGTGCAGCACTTACTTCTCAGGCTGAGCTCTTACCTGTTCCCTGCCCCTGCTTGATCTCCTCAGCAGTACGGTCGATGAGCACATATAAGGACCAGACTACACAGGTGATGGCGATGACATGAAACATCACTGAGTATGTGATCTTCCTGCGCTCGCTGGCCGTCATCTGCAACTTCTCCCACTGGAAAGGTGACAAGCAAAGAGTGAGGCTCAGGCCCAGAGTAAATAGGTATAATGGGAGTGAGAATATTGTTGATGGCCACAATCAGCTCTCCATCCCCTCCCTCTCCCTCAACTAGATGACTTTCCCCAAATACTCAAAGCTGTTCTCTTTAAGCCACTGGGCTTCAACCAGGTACCAGACACAGCCAAAATTTTATGAAATAAAAAGCATCTGGGATCAAGATAAGCACTGAATTATCATCAGCACCTGCTTATTCTCACAAGCAGACACTAAGTGGCCTAATAAAGGATTCTGTGATTTCAATCCTAATGAAAACAACATGTTGGTTCAAGACCCAGGTGCTGTTTTATGTCTCCCTGGCTTGTTGACTGGTATGGACAAGCGGAAGAATAGGGTTGATGATGCCACAATACACTGGCAGATGGGTCACACTATGTTGTGAAGGTGAATGGCGGAAGGCGCTCACTCTTTGGTCCTCTGCTACCTTTGCAGCAGCAGCTTGACATCGATGCTAAGAGTTCCTGGTACAAGCAGACTCTGCCAGTGCCATCTCCTCTAGGAGCACATTAATTTACTCCAAATAGCCAGATTTTCTTTTTCATTTACTGGTTTCCGAATCAGAAGAAAACATATAAAAGTAGAAAGAAAGAAGAAAGTGTAAACACTCTGCATATCCCTTGCCAACGGTAGTCACAGCCTTTATCCAGATGGTTCTATGCAATGTAAGCTGAAAACAGAGCCTCTAAATTATCCACGTGCCACAAGAGAGAGTCACTTCAGAGATCAGCATGGAATAGGTGGCAAAATGTTTCTTTTAGTAATATGAGCCTGCCTTCTGTAACATCTGATTGCTTTCTGCTGAGGTTTTATAACCAGCAAGTTCTCTGGGCTTCCTACCTAAAACACAATCAGTGTCTTGGTGTCTCCAGTCCCCTGATTATCACTATTTCCTAGGAAACCCACAGCTCCACTCTTTCACACCTCTGAAATGCTCACCCTCTTGTCTTTCTTGGTGGATGCTTTTCTCCAATTTGACCTCGCTAAAGTCCTTCACTTTGCCCTCAAAGCCCATGCATATATCCTTCCAGAACTGCTACAAAAGCCAAACTTTCTTTGATGCTCTCCACCTCCCTAGGATGAGGCATGCCCACAACACACTTCTCTCTGCATGGTTTTAATTGGTCTCATTGTATGCCATTATTTGTCTGTGTGATTCCCCTGGCAATTTACATGTTGACATTTTTAAGACAGAAATAGGCTTTTATTTTTCCAAACAAAACCTCTGTGCTAGGCACATAGAAAGATGTATGAAACAGTCAACATCTGAATGGTAATCAGCATCACACAGTTTCTCTAAAATGAAGCAATGACCTGTGACATGAAGACAGCTGCATTTCCCCACTCACCCACCTCCCATCCAGTAAACACTTATCACAGGCATACACGAACAAATTGACTATGTGCTATGCTAGGCTTAATGGTTGGGAGACACACTATCTCCAATATTCAGTCTTCACTGGAAAGGCAAGATACTAACAGTTAATACATACAAAGCTAAATGCTGACTAAGATGTCACAGGACAGTCTGTGGCCAAGAGCCAAGTGACTGACACAGACAAGCAAGCAGTCTAATTGTGAAATAGAAGCATCACAACTGAATAGTGGTAAAGAGCTTCTTCCTGAAGGTAGGGACTTAGACATAAGTACCAGAAACAACAATCTACAATGTGAGTGTAAGCACCAGTCAGTTATTTAAAGAAACAAACAGAGGCATGCTATGGCTCCATGGTCTGAGATGATAACTCATCCAGGTCATTCATCTCAGAGAGGGTTAAGTACTTGTGGGAATGTTCTTTCCTCACATACTTTTCTCAAAGGTTTCAGCTTGGTCTCCATGATGAACTCGTACTTGCAGAGCTCACAGCAGCGCGTGTCAGAGCTCTTGATCCACTGCTGCAGGCAGGCCTGGTGCACAAAGTGGAGGCTTCCTGTGCAGTGGCAGGGGGTGATCAGGGGGCTCTCATCATCACCTTCACAGTGGCATATCCTATGGTGGGAGGAAAATCAGTTAGTGCCAGAAGAGCCCCACAACAAGGAAGGTGACACTGCAGTGGAAGTTCAATCCATGAAAGAAAACTTTCAGCAACAAACATCACAGAAGTGACTATGAGCACAAAAACATACAAGCACAAATGAAAATAATATTAAAACTAAAATATCTAGCTTACCGCACACACATGGAAAGTCAGGATGGCATTTGGCAATAAAGAGGGAGAAAATGATATAAGAAATGACAAAGCAATCATTGTGGGTTAAGACTTAAGAACTTCACTGAAAGATGAATTTAAGGCAACATGAAGTTATCTTCTAGAACATAAGACATTAAAATAATTAAAATTTCTATGTAAAATAAAATGAGCAGTGTCCCTCCGCAAAATACTACAGTGACTTAAGAAAGCATGGCTTTCTAACTTTAACACTGACTTCGCCTTCACACACTACAGGTACATCAGCCCACCCTCTCTCATGGAGTAAATAGAGATCATAGTTCTCTCTCCTCCACCTAAAAACTCACCATGATGACATACTGCAATTTCATTTCTTTTATTCAGGACCACTCATAGTACTGAACAAAAATTAATTTTAAAGCAGTCATTATTTCTAAGGAAGCATGCAGCAGGAGAACTACTAACCTCAAGGAACTTAATCAGGCTTTTGAGAACAGGGATCTTTTCCAACAGCTGAGGAATAAGCAGGGATATGTGTCCTGAAAGCAGCCAGGCCCTGACCTTGCCAGACTCTTGGGCTGGTTGTTTCAGGCACAGGATTTCTGATCCAGCTCTGAGAAATGTAATGGGTGGCACCAAGGAGGGAAAGGTTGGTTTGGGAGAAACAGGAGATTTGTGACAGAAAATGAATTCTCAGAGCCTTAGGGCCAGACAAGGATGCTGCACAAAGAAAATAAGGTGGGAAAGAGGATTTAGGACTGGGCAGGGGTGGCCACACCTAAGTTAAGAGGAAAGCAGGAAGGAGATACTGGAGAGCAGCTACTCCTAAACATTCACTGGGGGGAGCTACAAGGAGTAAAAAACGAGACTGGGATGGCAGCAAATGCTTAAAATCAGGACTACCAAGCTGGAAAATTGGAAATACTATTTTCTTTTTTCTAATTTCCTTATCCAAAGTCTATTTGTTTTTAGTTGAGAAGGTCAGCTTGGCCTTTAATATGTATAGCTTCTTCCTCTTTTAAAATTAGTTTTTCAAATAGCAACAATACTTCATTCTCCTGAAGAAAACAATTACCCCCCCAAATGGCTACGACTGTATTAACTGTTTTCCCAAAACTTCACATATTAAAAGCAAGATGAGGCTACAAAGGTGTGAGCAGAGATGGCCAGAATGGTGGTTCCTGGCAAACCAACCTGCAGGCATCCCCTGAGATGGACACAGGAGAGATGGGGGTAGATTTTTCAGACAGGGGAGAAGGACAATCCAGGTCACTGTCCTTCTCCACTGAGCAGAGGGGTGCCCGCAGAACCCTGCACTTGAGTTTGGCGGATGTGCTGTCCTCAAAGACGTCGTCGTCTCCCATTTCATCAGAGCAGAAGCCCATGCTCCCTGCCAGCCCACTCGAGGACTTGGTGGCATGCAGGTGAGCGGTATGGCTCTCCAGCTCATGGAATCTGCGCAGGCTGCTGGTGCTAGAGCCATGGGAGAGCAAGAACAGGTACTGGAGCAGCCGCTGGCTTCTGGACCCGGCCTCACCATCTGCTTTCTCTTCCAAAATCGGGCTGTGCATGCCCCCCTTGCCAGCTTCTACCTCTGAGGCAACAGAATGGTTGGCAGAGAGGGATGAGACACAGAAACGTTTGGAACTGCCAAGAGATTTAGGATTCAGTGCTCTTTTTCCTTTAAAATGAAACCTGTTAATTCTGAGACATGGATCTTGAGAGAGTACCAATTTTCCTTCAGAACAAGTTCTTTCCACATAGTCAAAGCTTTCCAAAGTATCCTGGGGCTTCTCACATACATCATTTAGGGACTTTGAAAACTTTAGTGTTCTTCTGGCTTTGGCATTCTTAGCAGGCTTCAAGGCCTGAAACCATTCAGAATCAAAGGAATTGCTTTCTGATGCCTGTAATGTGTCTTTACAGACAACTGTCACAGGGAGCCCTTGTGTCAGAGAACTCTGGCAGTGAGGTGCTTTCAAGACAACAGCAGACTGCACGGGACTGTGATGACAATACTCAGAAAACACTGCACTGGAACTGCATGCAGAACAGTGGAATAAAGCACAGAAAGTAAAAACAATTTTAAGAGAAAACAGACATCAAAGTTTAGAAATGAGACTGGTGTGGTAATCTGGTGAGCAAACAACACATAAAATTGGGCCAACTCCTTCACCAAAGGAAGAATGATAAAACAAATGAAAAACTGAGAAGCTACAGACATTAATCCTTATATCCAGAATCATATGGGCCACGGCAGCATCTGAAGCACAGTGTTACCTGCAGATGTCCTGGTTGGATGGTGTGACAGAAGTGCGAGAGAAGGCAGACACTGGAGCTGATGCTGAAGGAGAACTCCCAGCCTGCAATGACATACCCCCAGTCAGTGTTCAGGAAGGAGCCAAGGTAAGTGGAAACACCATCTTCTCATGAATGGCTGTGAGAAGAAAAATCTAAGAATGTCTACTGCTCACAATAAGGAATATATGTTAGGTCCTACAAACCTAGGCAAAACAAATACAACATCATTCCTCCTTTTTTTCTTATGTGTGTATTGCCCTTAAAGAAAAGTAAGATAGTAATATACCTTGTCCTCAATACCCCCCACTTTTCATTCCCCCCAAAAAACCTAGTCAGTTAAGGAAGCAATGAGAGCAAGCCGGGGCTGGAATGTCCAGGTACATATTATCTTGAAGGTCTCTGACTTTCTCTCATGCACGCTGGGAAAAAGGAAAATTCAACATTATCAGAAGAAAGTTGCTTTCTACATGTACACAGGGTAGCTGCTTCTTGGGATGCTGGTCATACATGCAACCTAACCAAGCTAATGTTGATGTCGCTGTTTCTGTAACCTAACCTATAAACCCCCTCCTCCTGTAGTAACTGGTGCAGATCAGAGCAATTTGGAGGCAGAAGTGCTCATCCAGGTGGCTGCCCCTGGACAAAGAGTGGAGAGGGATAGCAGGCACTATTCTCTGCAAGGTACCGGAAACACTGTGTGTAGCAGAGGTTCATCTGCCCAGCCTGTCACCACTGGACTTTCTGGCAAAGCACCTTTCCAGCCTTTTGCCTCTGGACCTTCCCTGTAAGCATTTCTCAGTAAAGCATAAAATTTGCATGTCATGTCCAGGCATTTTATTTGGTCTTTTAGTAACTTTTCCCACTGCTCTGGCACAACAGGGCTATGTACATGACACTGTGGATAAAAGTATAGCCCAGAGATACCTGAAACCACAAAGCCTCACTGTCAAGCTTCTGTGAGTTCAGTGGCTGGTTTTTCCCCTAAGCATCTACACTTCACAAGTTCATATATAAGTCAATAAAATGAAGATATAGGAGGCATGGTGCCTGACATCACTAGCTTCTCCCAGAATGCCTTCACATGGTTCCTGAGACAATCTTATCCAAGGCTGGAGGACTTGAGAGCACTCTACTACCTCACAACCTCATGCACAGTGCCCACTTGCTGGTCCACATAACCTCACTACCAATGTCATAGTTCTCTCTCTCTCTCTTGTTTTTAATATTTATTTATTTTTTAGTTGTAGTTGGACACAACACCTCCATTCCATTCATTTATTTTTATTTTTATGTGGTGCTGAGGATCGAACCCAGGTCCCTGAGCATGCTAGGCGAGTGCTTTTCTGCTGAGCCACAATCCCAGCCCCAACATAACTCTCTTTATAAAGAAGATTCCATGATTTGAACCACCAATCCACAGATCAACCTGGAAGCTAGGAGAGGGCTGAACATAGGATGCTCCCAAGAGGTCTAATCTTAGAAATGTGAATTAATAATTAAGAAATTTAAGTTGAAATAACATGTAAGAAGAGCTCATAGGATAGAATAGGGCCTCTGAGGGGTAGTGAACAAGCCAAAATTAGGGGAAAGATCTAGGACAGAAAAAGCACCACAGTGAGAAGAGAAGTGGATGGAGAGAAATAGGGATGGGAAAGGAGCTAATCTGAGCATGCAAAGCCATCACTAAAGGCCTCCGGCCTTCCAGGCATGCCTCTCTGGGGTCTAACAAGACTCATTCTCTAGCCTCTAGGGTACCTATGTCCTTCTTATAGTCACGTGTTGCTTACAGTGGGAACATGGTCCACATTTATGACTAGAAGATTCTGTCATCATGCAAACATCATAGAGTGGACTTACACAAACCTAGATGGCATAGGTCAATCACTTGATGTGGCCTCTTGATTTGATTTAGAGATATAGTAAACATGAGATGTATGAGGCTGCTTCTGGCACAACACTGCATACTTATTTTACAGTAAATTTTTTAATAAGTAGAAGGAGTACACTCTAAAATAAAAGTGTAGTATAATAAGTGCATAAACCAATAATAGTCATTTACTTATCAGTTGTATAGGCACAGCAGGGTTATACCAGTATCACCACAAATATGAATAACATGCTGCACCACATTAGAATTGCAACGCTGTCACTAGAAGGCAGAAACTTTTCAGATCCACTATAATCTTATGGGACCAATGCCATATATGCAATGTGTCATTGACCAAAAAGATCATTATGTGATATGTAACTGTAAATACATTCTTCCTTCCTTAATTCCAGAAAACAATGCTATGAGTCTGTTAAGTCCACATTACCACTCACCATGATTCAAGAGGAGCTTCACCTTGACCCTAGTTGAGGTCTAGCCCCTACTTTAAGTGCCACCCCCAGGGATACACTCTCATCCTGGCACCCCACCCATGGGACATCTGTTAGCCACTGGAATGGAACTGTTACTGCCCAGAAATTCCTATTCCTATCCCACCCTTGCAGCAAATGCACCAGCCTGGAAAGAAACAGGACTAGCTTGTTTGCTGGACCACTACTCCTACTCCCAGAACAAGATTAAACATCATTTTAAACCTAATAAACCTCAAGAAACTTGATCCAAGAAGTTGCCATGCTGCATGTGTATAATGAAATCATCCAGTGTTACTCAATTAGCACATCTTCTGAGTCACCCAAGAATCCACATTTTCTAACCAAATGTACACATGGACATTGGACATATTTTATCTAAAAGCATTAATGGTCAAAGTTCTTAAGAATCTATTATTTGGAGACATGAAAATGACATCCCAAAATAACTTCCATTACTACTTTACAGGATTCTTCCAAAAATAAAATGAAAGAGATCTCAGGACCCATGTGGAGATGGTGCCATTCATACCCTGTATCCCACAGTCCCAAATATACCAGCCTTCCTCCTCTTTCTTTTGAGGCCTCCTCCCAGACAGCCATTACGGGCTCTATTGGAGAGCTCTTTAGGCCCCAATCTCTTGATTTGATTTAGACATATGGTAAACATGAGATGTATGAGGCTGCTTCTGGCACAACACTGCATACTTATTTTACAGTAAATTTTTTAATAAGTAGAAGGAGTACACTCTAAAATAATGATAAAAGCGTAGTATAATAAGTGCATAAACCATAAAATAATGATAAAAGTGTAGTATAATAATGCATAAACAGTAAGTACCCTGGTACTGAAAGTACCAGGGTACTTACTATTAATAACTACAGGGAAGCAGATTGAGGGTACCTATTCTTAAGTGCCCAAACTCTTTTTTTTTTTAGTTATAGAGACACAATACCTTTATTTTATTTGTTTATTTTTATGTGGTGCCGGGGATGGAACCCAGCGTCTCACGCATGCTAGGCAAGTGCTCTGCCACTGAGCCACAACCCCAACCCAAAGTGCCCAAACTCTTACCTCTGATGATTTTCTGATGTCCAATCCTAAACCCATTCTGAGACTGGAAACCTTTATGAACCTGTTGCCTCCTTTTACTTCTGAGAGTAACTTTTGTTCAGTGACAGAAAACATAAAAAACACAGGCTAGTCAAAACGTACAGCAGAAAAGTGTGAATCATCAACATCCTTCTCCAGGTGGACCTGAAGGAAGTAATGTCCAGTTGCATTCATGACCTTGTACTCTCACTGCTATAAGGTCACCTCTTCTTTCTCTGTGTTGCAGGTTAAGCTCAGTTGCCAGGACAGAGGTATAAAAGGAAACCCCTCCCCATAAGGGATGGAAAACATGGAATGAACTAGTTATCTTCCATGCCCTCACTTTCTTGGAAAGAACATGATCTTCTTGGAACCACATAAACTTTCCTGTCTTATGAAAGGAAGGTAAGTCTTGTGGAAGGAGAGTGGAATCTTATCTACAGAATGGTGCTGAATCAGGGTCAGTGTTCTGAGAAAAGGCAGGTCTCATGAAGCTGAAATCAAGAGAAAATGCCTCTTGCTCTCCTGAATGTCACATAATCTATATCAAAAGGGAAGTAAGGGATAATGATTGCATCCATAAGTGCCTGGGTTAAAAATATGGGGTAAGAACAGCAAGGCCCAGGGACAGGTAACAGGCCTTATCAAGGAAGCAATCAACTGTCCACATATGAAGAGACGTATGTGCACTTGCCTACACGGTTTCCATCTCAGATGCATTGCAGAAAACTCAAACAGGTGTGTCTGCACTGGCAGCAGACACCAACGCTGAGATAGTGGCAGCAGTCAGTCTCAAGGAAGAATGGTGTTGTGGCAAGGCAGGAAGATTGTTGCTACCCAATTTTTATTCAGGAAACGGGGACTCTGTCAGCATTCTCTATTTATGTTCCTGTCCCAATTTGACCCTCTTTAACTTCATGAAAAATGTTGTAAGATGCTTTCAGCAAGTAATGTCCAAAACTTCAACAAAGCTCCCAATAACAAAGTCTCCTTATCAGACTATAAATTTCAAGGAAATTTTTTAAATCTACTTTTATTTTACACAAATATAAACTTCAGTAAATGCTGACTCCCTTTTCCAGAAAGAGCAAGAAAATGAGAAAGGATGGGAGGGATATCATAGCTCCCACAGAAGCTCCTTCTGTTAACAGCTAAAGAAGAGCACATGTTCCAAAGATCAAGACGAATCCATATGCAGAATAATCACTGCAGCAATTTTAAAGAGCTTGATCTGTTGTTGGCAATAAGCTGAGTAAAATCTGTCAATCTACCAACAAGGATCTAGAAAACTGGCCTGATGGATAACAAAAAGGCCTAAAGTTTCCAATACAGTTTCACAGCCAGATTTGGGAAGCTGTTCAAAGTCAAAGGCTAGCAATCTCTTCTTAGAAGTTCCAAAACATAGCAGAGTGGCACTCAGGAGCCAGGGAGGCAGCACCAGGTCAAAGGTCTGTACCATACAAAATTAATTCCAGGAGCACCTGCACTCTTCCTCCATGAGGTCAGATAACGCAGGACCTGACAGTTTCTGACAAAAGGTGCTACTGTCTATAATAAGAAAATTAAATGTGACAAAAACAGTAACAACAAAATATACTGAAGCCCTCTGTT